GGCTCTCAGCCTGGGGCCCAGGCGGGCCTTCCTGAAAACCTGCCTTTGCTCAGACAACCTGCTCTGCACCCCTGGTTTCTCGGGGAGACACTTTGTGGCCCCGTTCCGAGCTGGGGGCATGACCCAGCCTGGCACCGGAGAGACTGTGCCCAGAGCATGAACGCCAGGGCAGCGCTCCCTTATCTGCCCTTGCCTCTGCCTGCACGACCCCTTTTCTCTCCCCATCTTTGGTACCCGAATCCCGACAAGGATGCAGCAGCTGGGAGGAGGGGGCTTTCCACTTGCTTCCCCCAGCATCTCCCCCTCCTTGCCACCCTTGCGTCTCCAAATTCGGTCAGCTGGCTGCTCCCCAGGGATGTCCCGAGCTGAGAGCAAGGGCTGGCTTAGCCCGGGGTGCAGGTACCTGCGGTGGACCTGTGTGGAAGCGGGGCCGTACGAGCATCGGCACCGTGCTGCCTCCCATCGCTGCGCCGAGCCCTTCGGCCAGCCGTTCCCGGGCATGGCTGGAGTGTCCCCTTTCTCATGGCTGAGCCTGTCGCCCCCCTCAGCCCGTCACCCTCTCTGCCATCGTCACAAGGGGCAGGATGCGGTTCCCAGCATGAACCAGGAGTGCATTTCCCCCTGTCCCATCGCTGAGCCCCACGCGACGTGGCAGAGCCCGAGACGCGCAGTCTCTCCGTACCAAAGCGTCGCACACACCCACCTCAGTGCATTTCTACCCAGAGGAAGGGGGAGAGGTGCCAAACCTCCCACAGCTCAGCTGTGGGGACCAGAAATAGACCCGGAGAGAAAAAAATCATCCCTCAAACCTCGTCGCCCAGCCTCTACGTTTGTAGCCAACGCCAGATCATACCAGCCCTGACTCAGATCGATGCCGTGGGACCGAGGTGCGTGCTTAGATCTGAGCGTGCTTTGCTGGCCGAGGACTGCTCCTGGTGCGTGTTCCCCTCCGTACACTGCAGGAACGTGCCAAATCCATCCTGAGCGAAGAGGCCCTGCTGCACCTCTCCCCCACAGCCTGAAACATCTTCAAGTGTGTGAGCGTTGCAGGAAGTCTCCCCACTGTATAATATTCTCATCCTTTTCTTGGCTGTCCCGGATGACTAGTCCCGTCCCGCAGCCCGGGTCCTACAGCCCGTGGATGTGGCCAGGAGCCTCTGGACTTGGCAGGCTCTGGGACTGTCATCTGGCAGGGCATGCTGATGTCTTAACCCATCGCGTTCCCAGCCTGGGGGACATCGCTCGGGGGACGGTAACTCTCCATGCGGCTGTTTCCCTGTCGGGCCAGGAGCGAGGGCTCTGTGTTCTGCTTTGCTGTGCATTTCTGCTGTGACCCTCAGCAAATGCAAAGTGTGAGGATAAATGAGGACCCCCTGGGGCTCCCCAAAGCTTCTGGGGCAACTCCTCCCTGTGCCAGTACTCGATGCGAGGTGTCCTCTGAGCTTCCCCCATCAGACCAAAGCTGTTCATTCGGGTTTGTCCTAGACAAGCATCCAGACGTCTGCATTGTTTGAGGTTTGCCCATCCCTGCTCAGTTCCCTTCTCAGTATGTCCAGCATACGGCGGGCTGAATAGTTCATTAATTGTTTCCATTTGATAGGGAAGAGCATGAAGAGCCACCAGCCACCAGTGACGCATTTCACCCCGATGTCAGGGTCGTGTTTTGCCTGGATTCCTGCGCCCGGCTCCTGCCGCGTGGGGCTTTTCAGTAGGGGGTTTCACAAAGGGAGGTGTCGGCTGGAGTGAGTCGGAACTCTCACACTGTCTTCTTCTTTCACAAAGGCATTTGATACAGGAATTTCCTTGGCACCGCAGGGATCTGTGGTGCAGACTTGCACTTCCCAGGGCGGCCAGCTCCCGTCAGGAATTGGCAGCCCAGTTCACGGGCACCGCGTCTCCAGTGCCCCTGCAGCAGCGCCTTCAGGTACATGGGGCGAAGAGTGCTGGTGTGCCTGGGGGGAGCAGACCCCCACCCCCACCCCCCGGGGTCCGTCAGCGCAGATCAGACCAGTGGGAGCAGGAAACCCCTCCACCCGCTCTCGGGAAGCCCGTGCAGGACATGTTTGACCTGTCTTTGTGCAGTTCTCTTGCTTGGCGTTGCCACCCCCGTGCACTGAGGTTGCCGTGGGCACGCAGCTCGCTGCGGCAGAGGGTGCCCGGCGGAGCTTTCGCACCGGGAGGACGGAGGCAGACCACACCAGGCCACCGGATCGGCGTGCTCTCACCCATAAGAGAGGTATTCCCGCTGAAG